AACTGCAGGGGGGGGAGGGGGCGCAGAAAGGAGGCTGAATATTTCTGGAAGGATGTAAACACTTGGAGGGCCAAAACAGGGCGGGACCCAGGAGGATGCTCACCCCTCCCTGCACAGGGGCTGCCTGTTGCCATGGGCCCAGCCCCTAAACCAGAGAAGGGGGTCCTGCCTGGGCCCCCCCTTGGCTAGCTTCAGGCAGACCCTCCTTGTCTTTTTTCTGGGCCTTCCACATCACCCCCCTCTCAGCCCCAGGGTGTTGCCTTAAAGCAAGGGCTCTCGGACAAGTTGACAAGCTTGGCCCTTGGAGCGATTCCCTCTCCGGCCCCTCTCCTCTCCTCCCCTCTCTCGCATCCCTCCTTCATCCAGCTGCCCCCAGCCCCCGCTCTCCCTCCTCACCTCCTTTCTGGTGCTTTGCGGAGTCTATTCTAACTTCCCGCGGCGACTTGCGGCTGTCAGCCTTTTCTCTCAGTCCCCGTGCCCCGCCTCCCTCCCTCCATCTCCTCCCATTCCCACCTTCCCACTCCCACCTACCCGCTTCCTCCAGTCCCCAGCGCCGCCCGAGGCTCCGCCCACCCCGTTGGGACTGGCCTCCGGGGCAGTACCCCCTCCTGAGCCTCTCCTTCCGTCCCACCCTTCCGCTGCCCTTCGGTCCTGTGATCCTGACCCTGGCGCTCACCCAGGCGGGCGGGGGAGCAGGGTGTCCGGGAAGCCTGGGAAGAAGTGAGGTGAGGCCCAGGAGCCCAAGCTCTAGAAGGTCTTTGCGCGGAGGACTCTTCTCTCTCTTCCCCTCACCATATGGGACTGCCCTGCCCCTACCCTGCCTCCAGGTAGGGCTGCCCTTTTCTTAGGCCCCTTGGAGTGACCAGTCTGAGACACTCATTTCAGGACATTCTTCCCAGAAATACAGACATCCTCAAACCAGATGAAGCCCTGAGGAATCAGGAATCATTCAATCCTCCCCACTCCCATGCCCTAAAGCCTACACACACACACACACACACACACTCTTAGAGGCCTGGTGCACGAAATTCGTGCACAGGTAGGGTCCCTAGTGGCTGCAGGCTGCAGGCTGGAACCTTCCTTCGTTTTGCACCACCCCCTGGTGGTCAGCACATGTCATAGCGAGTGGTCGAACTCCTGGTAGGTTGAACTCTCAGTCGGTCGAACTCCTGAGGGGACACTTTGCATATTAGGCATACACACACACACACATATTTTTAGAGAGAGGAAGGGGTTGTGGGAGAGAAAGAGAGAGAAACATCGATATGAGAGTGAGACATCCATAGTCTGCCTCCTGCACGCCCCCTACCAGGGATCCAGCTGGAAACTCAGGCATGTGCCCTGACCAGGAATTGAACTGACAACCTTTTGGTGCACAGACGATGCCCAACCAACTGAGCCATACCAGCCAGGGCAGGCATCTTGTTTTAAGGTGACGCTGGTGTGCGACAACCTCTACCACCAGCACGCAAGTCCAGCCTTGATCCTGTATGTCCTATCTTTGCCTACCAGGGATCCAGCTGGAAACTCAGGTATGTGCCCTGACCAGGAATTGAACTGACAACCTTTTGGTGCACAGACGATGCCCAACCAACTGAGCCATACCAGCCAGGGCAGGCATCTTGTTTTAAGGTGACGCTGGTGTGCGACAACCTCTACCACCAGCACGCAAGTCCAGCCTTGATCCTGTATGTCCTATCTTTAGTGTTGGGAGCCTGGCAGGATCTGTGGTGGAATTCATAGGGCCAGTGGGGAGTCAGGAAAACAGTGTCCAGAAATTGGTTCAACTCCTGCACATCTGAGCAAATCTGAGGCAGCACTGGGACTTTGCCTATCAGTAACCAGGGGGACCATTTCTCTGCTTCCAGGCCCTGTCCTAATGCTGGACATAGAGGATCTCATTGAACTTCCAACCCCTGGAACTCCTGCTTCCTTCACTGCATAGTGGGATCAGAAACCCTACCTGGGGGTTGTCGTGCAGAGAAAATGAGCAAATGTATGGAAAGTGGCTGCTTGTGTTCTGGGTGCCAAGTGGGGTCAGAGGCTGAGAGCAACATTAGCATGGCACCTTGACTTTACCCTCCTGCTTTCATTTGGGCCATTGCCCTCACCTGATTGCACTTCCACAAGGGAAAGACTCTAGTCTCTGGCAGTGGTGGAGGGCT